AGAGAGAGAGAGAGAGAGAGAGAGAGAGAGAGAATGAGTAAGTGTGGCACTGCAGATTAATGTGCTGGATTGCAATGTCCGTTTGAACCATGGCTCGATCTCTCCAGCCACTCTTCGGAAACCCTATACAGGGTCACTATGAATGGAGACAACTCAACGGCATATAAATATGATAGTAAATGATAGTAAAGATTCTGACTATGAATATAAAGGTGATTCTCTAACACACTGTGGAATGCTGAATGTTTTTAAACAGTTTTAGACACACATTTTTATTTTTAAATTGTCTTACCTCCTAAATTTACAAACTGTAAGTGAAATCCATTAAAGTATTTCATTTAAATATTTATTTTCCACTAAAGGTGTCTTCCAAAGTTAAATTTCAAGATAATTCCAAGTATCTTTTTCACCACAGTGAGAGAAGTGAGGGTAAAAAAGATATTTGGAATTATCTTGAAATTTAACTTTGGAAGACACCTTTAGTGGAAAATAAATATTTAAATGAAATATTTCAATTGATTTCACTTACAGTTTGTAAATGTGGGAGGTAAGACAATTTAAAAATAAAAATGTGTCTAAAACTGTTTAAAAACATTCAGCATTCCACAGTGTTAGAGAATCACCTTTACATTCATAGTCAGAATCTTTACTATCATTTTCATGAGCACAGCATCTAGTCATTATCTTGATCACATGCTGAGTCCCCTGTATATCAATGAATTTCAGTAGATTACTGTTGGTTTCTTAATAAAAATGCATTTATTCTTTATAGAAATGAAAAGAATATGACATTCCCATGTTCTGAAGGACAATCTTCTAAAGTATTAAAACAAATGACAGTTGATGCTGTTACTGCGTTTTAGAAATTCTCTGCAAAGTGTAGCAAACTTACTATACGAAACCTTTTTATTTTAATGGGACACGACATGGGTATTATAATGTTCTGTAAGCTTTTGTTTTTGAACAAATCCTTAACTGTATGTATTAGACATACAATAGTAACAAATCATTCTTTATTTTTATATTCAACTATCAATATTTTTTATACCAACAGTAGTATGGTGATTCCTCTCCTCCAGTGCCCAAAAGAGACAAGGTTTTTTTTGTTTTTGTTTTCTTGTTTGTTTTGAGTAAAGTGAAACATTGTTGTTGTTGTTTTTAAGTGTCTTCAAGTCGGTTCCGACCCATAGCGACCCTGTACAGAGTTTCTCTGTACAGAGTTTCCGAGGGTGTAAATCTTTACGGGAGTAGAAAGTCTCATCTTTCTACCGCGGAGCGGCTGGTAGTTTCAAACCGCTGACCTTAAGGTTCGCAGCCCGATTCGTAACCACTACGCTACCAGAGCTCCTACATAGATATAGAAAAATCTAAGAGGTTAGAGGTGGAGAAGTATAACTTAAGGATGGGCTGCCGCTTTGACCAAGAAGTCAGCGAGTCTAGAAAGCAAAAGTCTCTCCCCTTCAGTACTACCTGCTACCACCCTTACATCTCTCTCTAAATCAGCAACTGGCTGGCAAGAAAAGATTTTACTCCTCTGCTTTGAGAAACTTTGCTCTGGCAGACTTTAGAAATTCTATGCCCAGAGCCGCCCACACTCAGGATCAAGGACAGCACCGCTTTTTAAACTGACAAGAAAGTTTTCTCAAGCGGTGACTGACTGCTCATGGTTCTGGGAAGGACTTTCAGCCTCTGGTTATCGCTATCGCGGTAACCACCTAGATGGACTGGAAAGCTTGCAGCTTCCAGGATAATTCCCAGGCGCTTTCTAGTCTTCACCATCAATACCTGATGATACGTCCATTCCCTAGGGGCTTTACTGAGGACTCCGCTGTGGGGCGGAGGAGAAGACTAGGTGCAGCTCTGTAGTAGCTGGAAGGAGTTGGGCACTGGAGTGGCGCGGGTACCAGAGAGCTCCTGATGCGTTTCCTTCCCTTTCGCACGACCCGCCACTCACCGGGAGGAGCCCGGGACAGAAAGACTATTCTTCCCTTAGTCTCCTCGGTTGCAAAACTGTGATAGATCCAAATGAAACAAAAGAGTAGCAGAATAAAGAAAACAAGCCAGATCTCCAGTATCGCTCCTTCCAGTAGCCTCGGTGTTCCCTTCCCTCTCAGGGGACACACCCCTTTGGACCTATTTGGGAAACTACCAGTACAGGAGGCTTGCTGAGGGGGCCAGTGAGCATGGCCTTTGGTTTAGCTCTAAGGTCCCTTTTCCACACCACCCTACACAAAGAAGAGTAGGGGAAAGCGTTCTGCGGAAACCCAAAGCGTAAGAGTAAGGGAGGCTGAGCAGGTGTGAGGGAGGTCTAGATCGTATTTGCTGAGGAGGAGCAGACTAGGAATTGTGGGTGGATGCAGGGGGTGGGGATCGCCGGCCAGGGGCTGCGGGAGCCTTGAACTAGTGCTGGCTGAAAGGCAGCGCGGGGGCTGGGCAGGGACGGGGACTGGTTGCTGATACGCGAGTCAGGGAAGCGTGCACGCGGGACAACCGGCGCTAGGTCACCTTTGATGTAGACATCATCGTCGGCGCGCATGAACCACTCATACTTGTCCAGGTAGTGGTCGTGCATGTACTTGATCATCATGAAGGACTTTTTCTGGGGCGGATAAGAGTCGTCTACACCAGGCAGCGCGATGACAGGCAAGGGTGGCGGGGGTTGGCCGAGTCCAGTGTTTGGGGGCTGCTGGCTGGAAAAGAACTCCACGCGGCCAGGAATGAAGCGCGCCCAGGTCCGCTGCGCCGCCAGTGCGCGACTGCCCAGGTACTTCTGAGCGGTCATCACCCCCACGTAAAGGAAGTCCCGGGGTCTGGCGCTCGGGGCGGTTGCGCCCCCATCCCCACTGCCGTTATGGCTACTCTTGGGCCGGCCACCTTGCCGCTGTCCAGCCGCACCCGCATCTTCTTCCTCGGGTTCTCCCTCCGATGCTGGTGCGCCAGGGAGACCCGTCGTGCCCTCAGGCTCTTGTCCCCGCCGCCGCTGCTTCTGCAGCGGAGGTGGCTGCTGCCAGAGACTGCTCCGAAAACTGGTAGCCCCGGGTGCTGCCTCGGGTAGCTGCGGCCCCTGAAGCTCCTGGTGCGCAGGGGGCGGTGACTGCTCGGGCCGCAGCCGGGGCTGGGGCTGGGGGAAAGGCTGCTGAGCGCCGGCGCCAGGGGCCGAGCGGCCGTAGTAGGAGCAAAGACCAGAGCCGCGTCTCTTCCTCTCGCTTAGCTCAGCCACCCTGGGGGCGATGAGCCAAGACGCGGCAGTGAAACCCAGCACTAGTCCCAGCGCCACGCTCATCCATGGGCGGCGGGAGCGCACGGCCATCGCGTCTGCCCCAGGCACAAACGCTCACCGAGCGGCCGCGGTACTGCGCTGGGGTCCCCCAGCTCAGACTCGCCTTTTCTCCGACTCCGCGCCCACAACCCGGTCGCAGCCCCGCCTCCCAGGCGCCGACGCCGGTTCGGGGTCAGAGCGCTCCAGGCGCCTCGCCCACCACGGGTAGCAGCTGCCGGCCGCTCTCTCAGCTCCGCTCTGGGCCGGGGCTCGGAGCGAAGGTCGGGAGTGAAACTTCTCCCGGCAGCGGCAGCGGTGGGAGCCAGAGGAGCTGCAGGAGGAGGAGGTGGAGCGGCGGCGGCGGCAACGCGTCCGCTTCTAGGCTGCCACCCTGTCACTGGCGCGCCTGGTCCCTCCCTCTTTCCTCCTTCCCAGCTCCCGCCCTAGCTCCCCGCCTCCCGCTCCCCCCGCCGCCGGGCTCCAAACTGGATCGGAGGAGGAGCCGCAAGCACCTCGGTTGCCAGCCCCGGGAAGCGCGGGCCGCGGTATTTTCCCGTCACCCGCCCTCAGACACCCCGCGTCCGCGCTCGGTTCTGAGCCGGCCTCCTCTCCGGAAGGAAACGATCCCTGTCGGGCCGCCTCCGGCTTCCAGGGCCGACGCCCCCTTGTCCCTCCTCCCCCGGCCCTTGCTCTTCGTCCCATTTCCCGTCTCATCCCGTCCCGTCCCGCCCCTTTAGCCAGCCCTTTTGCAGCCGGCGTTCGGGGGTTACACTGCCCGCCTCCCGAATCCTCGACTTCGCTGACCTCATCATTGGAGCTCGGGTCTTCGAGCCCCCTTTAAGCACCCACATTGCCACCTCTCGCAACCCACCGTCGTTACGTTCTGGTGTGACCCTTCCCCACTCTGCCCCGCCCCAGTCCTCCTGCCCTCCACTCGTCGCGTTTTCTGTGCTTTCCTGGATTCACTCAGTGTGCCCACTTTGTGTCTTCTCTCCCCACTCTTATCTTGCTCACTTCTCAGGAAACCCTCTGTCCCATCCTAGCATCGTTCTTTCTAACACAAATAACTCCTGTTTCTACCTGAATAGGAATCACAGAAGAGCTCAGAAACTAAGAAAATCCAAGAGGGACTGGAAATACCTATCCTGAAAGACTAGAGAAGAGGTAGGGCTCAAATCCCAAAGTATAGAAAATCCCGTTTCCCACCTGTTGAGTTGGACATATGGGACTGCCTATTGATCCCCTACTCAGCTCTTCCACTCAACTCCTGTGTAAAATAAGAGCCTTCCATCCTTAAAAACTGGACCAATAGGACCAGCAAATAAAGGAGAGATATTATCAACACTCGCAGGATTCAAACTATGAAAATTTTACACAAAAACGTGGACTTCATCAGAAAATAAAATAGAAAACAAAATTTTTATTCTTCCCTATAAACCATTTTATTTTCTAAAGCAGTGACAGGAAACCTTTACAACATCAAGAAAAATCTCCAGCATTAAATTCCCATAAAAGTTAAATTGTATTGGCCTATCTCATTAAAGGATACATTATGAAGAAATTACCTGAAAATCTGTGGCATTTTGAAGATGTTTCAAAAAAAAATTCTAAAGGTTGTGCATCTAACTGTAGTCTGGGATGCATTTGGTACCCCCAAGCCTTTCCTCTTGCTCAAATTTCAGTCTCCTGTTTTATACATCAACACAAGGAGATGGTGCTGAGTGGCATTAAGACAGAAGGACCCAATCCAGCAAGGTGCTGGCAGCTTCCCTGGAACAAGTAGACCTGCAGGGAGCCCTTGGAGAAGGGGTTCTTTCTACATCAACCACTGGCTGAGCATGAGCAAATCTGACTTACTGTCTCATCTGCTGGAGAATGAAGCTCTTTATCCATGTTTAGGTTTTGCCCAGATACATTTAGGGATGCAAATTATTGGACTATTACACTTCATGTTAGTCTAAATTGAATTGTAGTTAGAATATTTTGCTGATCTTAAATGCCATCGAGTTGGTTCTGACTCATAGCTACCCTGTAAAAGGTTTCCAAGGAGCAGCTGGTGAATTTGAACTGCCAATCTTGTGGTTCAAACCAACCTTGAGGTTCTGTGCTTTATCCTGCAGTGCCATACCAGGACTTTCTGAATCTATACATCTATCTGTCCATCTGTCTGTCTAGTGGCTATGAGTCTGACTGCTAACTTCAGGATCAGCAGTTCAAAACTACCAGCTGTTCCACAGGAGAAAGATGAGGCTTTCTGCTCCCATAAAGATTTATAGCTTGAGAAACCCTACAAAGGGTTGCTATGAGTGGGAACCACCACCACCACATTTATATATATTATTGCTGTTGAGTCGGTTCCCACCCATAGCAACCCTTTGTAGGTTTTCCAAGGAATGGCTGGTGAACTTGAACCATCAATAACCTTGTTTTTCAAACCAAGTTTGTAGTCCAGCTTATTAACCCACAGCTCCATACCAGAACTCCTATATGTGTATGTGGTTTTTTTTGTTGTTGTTGTTAAGTGCCGTCCAGACTGCTTTGACGCATAGCGACCCTATATAGGCTTTCCACGGAGTGACTGGTGAGCTTGAACCACCCACTTTATGGTTCAAACAGATTTTGTAGTCCAGAGAATGAACCCAAAATCTGGACAGTGAATAAGGAAGACATAGAAGAACTGATGCTTTTGAGTTACGGTATTGGAGGAGAATATTTGAAAGCGCACGGGCTACCAAAAGAACCAACAGATCTGTGTTGGAAGAAGTGCAGCCAGAGTGTTCCTTGGAGACCACGATTGCCAAACTTCGTCTCTCATACTTCAGACATATTGTCAGGAGGGACTAGTCACTAGAGTAGGATATCATGTGTGATAAGGTGGAGGGTCAGAGAAGAAGAGGAAGACCCCCAGCGAGATAGATTGGCAAAATGACAGCATCAATAGGCTCAAGTGTGGCAACAATTGTGAGGTTGGCCTAGGACCTGGCAGTGTTTTGTTCTGTTGTGCGTAGAATCGCTATGAGTCTGTACTGATTTGATGGCACCTAACAACAACAAGGAACACCAGACCCACAGATATTGAAAGGGGACAAGGGTCTTCCCCCAGGGTTTAAAGAGATAGAGAGAGACTTCCCCTAAGGATAATGTCTAGGATTTGGATTTTTAGCTTTCTAAAATGCAAAGCTGTTTGAACTGCAAGGTTGGTGGTTCAAGCTCACCAGCTGCTTTTCAGAAACCTTATACAGGGTCTCTGTATAAGAAATGACTCAATGACACTTAACAACATCAACAAACTGTGTGCACACTGGGCTTATGCGCTAGACTGCAACGTCGGTTTGAACAAGATCAGTGATTCAAGCTCACCAGCGGATACTTGGAAACCCTATACGGGGTTGCTATGGGTTGGAACCGACTCAATGGCACCTAACATCAAACTGTGAAAGAATAAATTTTTGTTTGTTAATGCTATTCACTTGTGGTATTTCTGCTATGGCAACACTAGGTATCTAAGACCATCATATATTTAAAGAAGTAAATACACTTAATGTCAGGTGATAAGTGCTTTGAAAAATATTAACTGGAGTAAGAGGAATAGCTGATGTATATATGTGTTGGTGGTGGCTATTGTTAAGTGCTGCCGAGTCTGTTCCTACTCATAGAAATGCTGTATAAGGTTTCCAAGGAGCATCTGGTGGGTTTAAACCATCAATCTTGCTGTTAGCTGTCCTATGCTTATCCTATAGCACCACATGAGGACCCCATGTGTTGGATGAGGTCATTTTAAATTAATTGGTCAAAGTACTTCTTTCTGATTGTTAACAGACAACAAAGGAAAGTAAGGATATTAACCATGAGAATTCCAACTCAAAGGCTTTGAGGTGGACTTGGCATATTGAGGAACAGAAAAGAGGCCAATATAGTTGGAAAGGGACAGGGCTAGTGGCTTTCTGATTATTTAGACTAGTGCTACCCAATATATTTATAATGTAAACCTCAAATGCAATACATATATTTTTTTCTAATAGACACATTTTAAAAAACAGGGGAAACAAATTTTAGCAGTATAGTTTATTCAACTCATATAAAAATATTATCATGCCAACAGGTAACAAATTATTAATGAGATATTTTACATTCACTTTTAGAGAACAATAAGTTTTCTAAACTTATTGTATATTTGACACACCACATCTCAATTTATACTAGCTGTATTAGCCACATGTAACTGCCATCCATACTGGACACTGCAGATTTAGACATTTGTGAAAACATTTGTAAAGATACAAGTGTGCATTCTGATAACAATTAATGCATTTAACAGAGTAGTGATTTGTTCTTGTTAAATGTCCTGACCCATTGTGACCCTGTATATGGTTTCCAAGGAGTGGCTGGTGAGCTTGAACCCCCGACCTTGCGATTCAAACGGACTTTGCAGCCCAGCACATTAACCCACAGCACCACACCAGTGAAACATATATAAAAATTTTATCATGGATCAGGGTCATAACTGGGTTTTTATTTATGTTTCACAAGGACCATTCTTGTGCCAATGGGAAGAAAAACAAAAGAGAAGACCAAAGGTGAAATAGGAAAAGTACTTAAAATATCATTGAAGTGACTTCATCACTTTGGAATAAATGAAAGAAACCTTTTTTCTTCTTCTTGCCTCACAATTTCTGCACCTCTCCCTCATTTTTAATAAGTAGGAGCTTTGGGAACAAGTGTTATGTGAGTTTAATTTCATATTTATTGAGATTCCTCTAGTTATTTATTTGGTATTTCCCAAATCCAGTGAAGTAATTTTCTCATATTCACTTTGTTTTGAAGATACTGAACTTTAGGGTAGATAATTTTGTGGAAAATCATGCCTAAGGACATTTTATGAAAAAAAAAAGAAAACTAAAGTAATAAGTTCTAAAATGAATTTAAGAAAAAAAAAAATTAGGATAAGAGGGTTATACAGGGACAATCTTGTATGGAAACCATGTCATTAAAAAGAAATTAATGATAGGATGAATGTAAAGCTAATGTTCTCCCATGTAAATTATTACAAT